TTTTTTATCGCACAAAGCAGGTGGCTGTTTCTTCTTGTTTTTTGTCTTGTTAACAGCTGCGTACAGATATTTAATGCTAGCTCCAGCCTGAGGTGTCTTGCTCTCTGGAGCCTCTGTGTTGTTGTCGAGCCCTGATTCAGTTGGATGCGACGAACAACCGATACAATCGACGCAGGACCGGCGGTTCACAGGTAACCCACTTATTTCTTCCTGAGGGTGATATGATGATTTTTTGAGAGCGCTTGCTTCAGAACTGGCTCTGCCTTTTCTTTCTTTATGAACAACAGCATAAAGATGATCTTTGTTTTCTTCTTCTTTATCGCACAAAGCAGTAGGCTGCTGTTTTCCTTTCTCACCACTTACTACCACTGTGTTTTCTTGTGCGCTTTCGTGAATATCCGAATATCCCTCACTTGCTGGCCTTGAATTTCGATAAGTGTCAGCTATGTCATCATACTCGCACTCGTTTTTGCAGTCGCTCACTGACTGATAGGTGGCCAGCCCAGATTCCGTTGGTGAAAGTGCTAAGTGTGCAGTAAGCGCGGCAGAGCTCCGTATTTGTTTAACATGCACAGGATCGATTGATTGCAGTTCGGAACTTGGGGGAACCTCGTGGGTGCAAGTGACACGATCGTGAAGGTGATCTGAAGGTGATCTGTAAGGCAAAATGATATTATCTCTCACATAGCGACATTTATGTTATTTTTTGCACTTTGTTTTGGGGTGGCGTCGCATTCTGCCCTCGAACGTAGATTTCGGGAGAGAAGTAACATACTGTTAATTAAACAGGTCAAACGTATACTTTAAAGGAAACATGATGTATTAAATGAAAATAACACTGAGATTTCCATTGAGAAAAGGTGATAATGGTACGGTAGAAATGAGGTTTAGAAGGAAAAAATATATTGTCTAAACGATAAAAATAATTGTTCTTATCATTTGGTAAGTACCACTTAAAAAAACGCAGATAGAACTGGACAGTTTTTGTCTGTGTCATTGTAATGACAATTTTAAAATCCAGAGAAGCTTAAACTCAAAGCCAACTTGGAAATGTTCTGCCATCACTTTTAAGCGATCACATTTAAAAAATGTTTTTCATGGAAACCTAATTTCCCGGATAATTTATTTACAGACCCCCTAATGAGTTCATTAAAAAAATATCAGTTAACGGAGTACTAAAGATTCACGTATACTACTGCAAACTACTTGCCGTAATGTTGTATTCATGATAAAACACATCAATAACGTCGTTGCCGTTGGGAAAAGGAAAACAAATAAAAAAAAGGAAAAAGGTTCATGTTAATAACAAGCGAAAATAACATAAAAATAACTTTCCGATCTACAATCTACAGACTCCTCCCCTCCCCTCCCAAAGTATAACAGGGAAGGAACAGAGACAGAAACAGAGTCGGGCACACAGAGAATCAAAAACTTGAAAAACTTTGGGAAACTCCTCTACATTTTTGGTCTTCGAAAAAGCCAAATGCACCATAAAATGCTACAAACTAACCTGAGAAAATGCAAGACAACGGCACATTCTGTTTTGTCACTCTCGAAAACTGAAATCTGAAGTGGGGGGGGAGGGGGTATAAATATTGAACGAGTTTAATAAGGGTGCATTCCGTCATGAAAAATGAGCCATTTGATGGAAGAACCAGCTTTGTAAAGAAGCTGAAGGCTTCACATAGAGCGACTTCCACTTTGTGCTTCAATATTTCATCGGCTCATCATATTAAAAAAAAATTATAATAACAATAATAGCAATAATAATAATAGTAATAATAATTATTATTATTATGATAATAAGATAAGTAAATAGTCAAATATTGCAAGAAACTTGCCTTGATTCTTACGACTTTGGTGTCGCCGAAAATACAATATTCCGAATACGACTGCGATTGCCAGGATAAAAATGACCAGAATCACGATGACGATCAACACCAAGTTTGATTTGCCACTTGAAACGTTTTGTGGAGAAGATTCACTAACAATATTCTCAAACGTAGTCCCTGAAAAAAAAAAAAAGAGAAAAATTTTCACCTAATTGGTTTTCTGAGAAACGAAGGCTGATTAAACCGAAAACGGTAAAGAAAAGGCGAATAAAGTTAAGTTAATAGCCAAGTGAAATAGAATGTTTCCTTTCACGAACTGTGATCGTTCATTAGGATATTAAAGGTTCAAATTTTCTATAAACCAGTGCGTTACATTTCTATTCCTCCCAGCCTGAAACATTTTTATTAAGATCTTCAGCTTTGTTACTCTCGTGCTTCATTTGAAGGTATCAATCTTTCAAAAATAATATTGCCTGTTTTTTTGTTTTTTTGTTTATTTGTTTGTTTTTTTTTTAAATGAAATCTTCTACTTGATTTAACTCAAAAGTCTCCACTTTAACGGGAAATATCGAAGAAAGTCGCAAGTAGAAAACTCAGGCAAGATTCAACCTGTACAAAAGAAAACTGTCATGCTGCCAATACGCTCAAAGAAAAAAAAAAACAACAGGTTTTGTTTGAATATTTCCATCAAAGTTGCATTTAACAAACTACTGATTTAGATTTTCTGAAGGACTGTGGTATCTCTATACCATATATTCTGATATGGGTCACAGCTACCGCCAAACATAAAGAAGGAAGGCTAGAGTATTTGCCAAAGAACTCATAGGATTTTCCCCTTTCCCATCCCCTTCATATAAATGATATATAATACATATTTAGTGTTTCCTCTTTCTTAAAGTGGACAGGGAGCGGAGGGGAATTTGAAGTCCGATATCCGACAAGAACTGCGCAGTAGAAAAAGGTCATATTAGATGTCAAATTTCCGTCCAAGTAAATCTTACCTTCTGAAGTCAGCTTATTCCGAGTATTCGTCGTTTGAGTTCTGTGTGAGGACTTTGTCGTTGTCACCAACGGTTGGGGGGTTGATTTAGGTCTTGTTGTTCTCTCAAAGAAAATATCATCGTTTTCTGAATTGTTGGATATGGTGGGACAATCTAAGAAGATAGCATATGAACACGAGTTACTCGCTTCAAAATCAAAGTTCCCTTAAACTTTTTTTTCTCACTGAGATTTTAAATTGGTTTAACATAGATTCGGCATGATCAAGAACTTACTGACTTGCTTTTCACATATATATCCTGGATTATCATCATACATGTCTGCTTGGCACGGAATGTTGTTATACTTTCCGTTTTTCCACATCTCTACGCATTTTTCTCTTTCAATATTGTTTGGTTCTCCTGTATTCCAACGCCATGTTCCATTTGACGTCTGGTTGATGCAGGCGATGTTTTCACTCAACCAGCTCCACGAATAAGATTTATTAACCCTTTCCAAGCCAATGAACCAACGACCTTTTCTCGCTGGTTTTTTTTGGTTAAATTATAGACAAAGTGCCATTCTTTTTCGGTTTCCATAGAGACAAGTGAACTATTCTCTTCATTGCTACATTTTTCCCTGGCTGTACTCCAGAAAAATGTTTCCTTGTGGAAAAAATACTTGGAGCAGACCATAACTAAGGTTTAAGGAAGCCGACCGATAAAGAGAAAAAAGAAAAACAACATGAGTGCACGTTTTATCTAACTCCCAGATAGAAAAATATTTATACGTATAGATATGTAGAAGTGACTCGACTGAAAATAAATAACTAATACGAATATCTAAATATAAATATAACAACAACAATGACGACAAAGCAACATCAAATAGAAACGAACTTACAATTTTTGGTGTAACCAGCTCCGGTAACAGGGCGCCAGTGAAAACTAACGAAACGACTGGCGTAGTTGAAATCAGCTAGAAATGGAAATTATTTAACGGAAATAACGCGTATACTGGCGAGAAATAGAACGCTACCCGGAGCGTTACGTAATTCCTACACAACCTCACGTAAAAACGTGAGTTTAATTACATAGAAACATACCATTCAAAAGCCAAAAAATCAGAAAATCAATATAAAGTAATTTCGCAGTTACTTGAAGATAAACAGAAATGCAAATTCTACTTACTACAGTGTAAAACTTTCACTATTCCCTCGCAAATGATATTTTTATGGCTATTTCGCTGGTTTTATAGGTAGCGAGGATTAAAAATATTTTCGTGTAGGTTCTTCAAAGCTGATTTGTAGAACATTAAGAAATGATAGTCGACTGATATCCTTTGCAAATTTTTTTTTCCAAGGGATATGACTTGTTCGCTTATTCTTGCCAAATGTGTGCAAATCTAACGTACTTTCAAAGAAAAGCATTGAAGCAATTCTAGCCGAGGATATGACTTGTTCGCTTTTTCTTGAAATCAAAACTTTGTAAGGTGTTTAAGGAACAGAGCTGACGGGGGCTGAGGGAAGCTGATCTGTAGAGTATCAATTTATGGTAATCGACTTATTTACTTTTCAAATTTTTCCCAAACCATCCGTCGACTCTGTTCGCTTCTCTTGCCAGATGTATACAAACCTGGCCTTCTTGCAAAGAAAAGCATTGAAGCAATCGCACCGGAATCACCGCGAGAAAGATACATTTACAGTGTACCCGATTTCCTTCAGTTTATATTTTACCAAGATGAATTCAAAGTATGATTATATACCTAGGGATGAATGTGCTTACCATCGGTGAATTGGTCAGTGGCATTGGCAACACCAAATGCAAACAGTAAAAAAGTGCAAGCAGCAGACCTCATGATATCCCGTAGATTCCACTTTAGCGCAGATACGAACAATCGAAATGAAATCCGTTTGAACCAACGTGATCCGACTGAATACGTTAAGGCTGAAATAAAGAAGAATGAAACTTTATGAAATGTAAATGAAACACAGCTCAGGCAGTGCTCACCGTTTGTTGCTTTCCTCAGCCATTTCTTTAATTCGTTCAGATCGATATTACTGTATGTATAAAGAGCCTCATCTAATCACGCGTGTGTATGTGTGGTTATATTCGTCGAGAAAACTGACTACAAACTTCAAGGGAATTTTGTATTGAATATAACAAAAGTTAACAAAGCGATTTTCAATTTAAAAATGTCGATTTTTGGGACGGGATTACTCGCAACAAAATTTTTTTTAGCCTAAATGAATGGCCAGTTAGGACAATGTAATTTAGGAACTTTTGATTTAGGTAAACTTTTTTCTAGACCGTACTTTCCCTTTAAATAATTATTGCCTATTTCTTCATGTCAAAACAAATAGGAAAAATTTTGTTCACCTGATCGGAAAATAAGCTCTTACTTTTAGAAAAAGCGACATAATGCAAACGCTTTCGAACATTTTCTAAAAGGACGATTTAAAATTTCCTGTCACTTTCCAGTCGGTCAATGAAAGTATTCGTTTCATTATCTGGCGGTTTTCCTTCACAGTTAACGACCGGAAAACGATTGTTTCCTGTTCATAAAAGCGCGGTTAACAGCTGGCAAACAACTTGAATGCTTTTTCCAAATTTAGAAGGTTTACTGCGCTTAGCCGCAGTTTGATAAAATGTTTCCCCCACGTTAAAGTTGTGGTTACTGACTGATGTTCAGAGAAAAAATGTTATCGGGCGATGGCAAGTATTATGTAGCTAGCTATAACAACAGAACCAGCGGGATGAAGCCGGTGTTTCGTTTGTTTTGTGTCGCTGTTAATATTTTACAAACTGAAGCGCGTGGTTCATAAGAAAGGGCACTAGGAAGTCTTGCCATATCGAAAACAAATCGCTTTCGTCAGCTCTGTTACTTAGCACATTATAAAATTTCGATTTCAACATCAGCAAACTATCTAAAAATATTAGAAGGAGAGCTGATTCATGAATATTGTCTGTTTCAGTTCAATTTCAATGCGCGTAAATTGCTCTCATCACTCGAGTACATCGGTCTATGAAGTAGACCAAAGGAGGAAACAAAAATAATGGCAAGACTGTTCATTTCGCCGAGAAATGAAAGCTCTGAGAAAGTGAATATGAAGATATGTGGTCAAGTTATTTAGCGATAAAAATTTTAGGGTAGAGTCTGGATCAGATATCTGCATAAAACGTAGTGGCGTAGGAGTTGTATTCGGCCATGTGGTGGAAATTGTACGATACGTTAATTATTCTTCATTTGATTGACATTTAAAAGTGATTTCGTTTATCTATGCGTAACCAAACAAACATGTATGCGCCACGTGTTTTATCACCTCATATATGGCACTGTTCCACGTGCTTACAACGGGACGTTTAAGCCGAGAGTTAATAAGGAAGCGTTGTACAGCTTTTTTACGTTTTCGACATGTGTATTCAAGATAATTCATTGTATAATTGCATCAAGACTCGATCATCAATCTGGGAGAGCAAGCTAAACTGTTTTTGAAAACTGCTTAGCAAGAGTGAAAACTGCTTAGCATAAATACTGCAAGCTTGTTAGCAGATAACAATAGAGAAACATGTTTTCTCGAGTTGAGCGGAAATCAATGTTTCAAGATTTAGATTTCCAAGAAATAGTAACAGCGAGTTTCACATCGTCTGGCGCAGCATGCGTGAACAAAAAAGGTTGTTGAGACAATGAAATAACACAATTTTCAAATAGTGGATTTTTCAAACCACGATTAAATTAACCCAGTGTCAACGGAAATTCTTTTTTTTCCATTTGTGGCTTTGCTGGGACAAGAACTATTATTACATTGTTTACTTCAGCTTTATTACCCTGGATAAGCGCCCATCGTCTTACGAACAATCCACTCGAGCGCTAACATCAGGAGAAGGTATTTGATTCACATATTCAGGATTAGGTATTTGATTCACATATTCAGGATTAGGTATTTGATTCACATATTCAGGATTAGGTATTTGATTCACATATTCAGGATTAGGTATTTGATTCACATATTCAGGATTAGGTATTTGATTCACATATTCAGGATTAGGTATTTGATTCACATATTTAATGTCGCTGTCTTCCACTGTAGATTTGTAAGTTCGGGAATCCTCTCCTTCTGGCGCCTGTAAAATATCCAATTTTATATGTGAGAACACTGATGGTTTTATCGACATGACAGACAAGGTTTATCGAATTGTGCTCTCGATTCCTTTGATAATTGCTGTTTGCTTCACTAAGCTCTTCATTGTCAATAAACAAAACTGAACGAAACAATAAACGCAGCCCATGCAGCGATAAGTCGATCGTGTCAAGTGTAAATATTATTTTCTCCTGATCGTATAAACATCTTTGCATTTAATGATATTTCTATTTATGCCATGTTGTGCTAACTCTTAATTAAGGTCGTCGATTAATTTACGACATCTTCTGGTGATACAGATTCTTTAATTTGCATAAATACGGCTAAAAGTTAAGACTAGTGGTTTTGAAAGGTAATGCCTGTTCCAAATGAGATCCCTCTACCTTGCAATAATGTGATGTTTCACCAGAGAAATTTCAATGTGTAAATAGATATATAGAGGAATAGATCGATCGTATCGCAATTTTTTTTCATTCCATTCTTTTCGTGATCTAATGTTGCAAAACCATATGGGCCGGATCGCATTGGATAATTTAAATTCATATTTTGCGTAATTCAGTACCATCATTGGCTCTGGACACAGCGTTGTATATACACCCTCCCGTTGGACAAATGGTTTCTGTTGGATCCTAAAAAAATAAATAAAAAGTAAAAAGCACAAAAAAAGAGGAATCAAATCTAGGTTAGCTATTAATTAATGTGAGGAATGATTTAAACCGGAATTTTAAGCGTGCATAGATTTTCGAGCAGAAAGAAAAATCTGTGAACTCGATTGCCACCCATAAAATAAACCTCTCTCAAAATCTAAATGCTATCAACATTTGCTTACTACAGCTTTATAATCCTGGATTAACGCTAAATGTCTGACAAAAAATCCCCAATTCAATAGCTTTTGACACGTTTTCTGATGGTGACATACTGACAAATACCTTTGAGTTAGTACCGGAATCTCATATTCAACGTCCTTGGCTTCTCGTCGCGTACGTTCGTGAATCATCTCCTTCAGACGTCTGCGAAACAGACAGTTTTATTTGTTTGGAAGATTTGAAGTTAAATTTTTATCTTTGTTGTTGATGTTTTTTTTTTTTTTGTTTTTCCAAAATTATATTTGGATCTTATTGGTTAGTTTTGATTTCAATTAATGTATAATTACCATCATTGACTGAGGACACAGCGAGGCATACAAACCCTCCTGTTGGACAGGCGGTTCACTTTGGAGCCTTTCGATCATGGTTTCATTCTCCGCCGAAAAAATAGATTGGGCACATTCATTCAAAGAAACCAGCGGCAAATTGTCTCGAAAGTCTCGTTTTTTTCTGTGTAGAGACAGGTTACAAATAAACATTAACAAAGAAACAGGAAACAAAAGTAGGTTAGCTATCAGTGGCATTCGACAAGGGAAACACAGTGACTGCAAACAGTAAAACAACGAAACAAAAGTTCAAAACACAAGCAGCAAACAGCTCGCCGTCTTCATCAGGCAATTAGAAAGATTTCAAATAGACTTGATAAAAAACCTAAAACCACTAAATAAGTACCACTAGGAAACCGTTTCAGAAAAAAGAAATAGACACTTACGATGATTCTTTCGACACTGTGCTTTCTGCATCTAATAAAAGATGTGCATTTAGGGAACATGACTTTGGTTAACACTGTATGAAAAACAGACAGGTTTGTTTCCTGCCATACTCCAACAGTGGCAAAAACAGAGCAAAATGTTTTTGTTATCGCAGAGATTTGTGTTCAAACAATGATCACCGGTAAACCTGTAGTTTCAATAATTGGCAAACTTCTTATTACATATTCAGGGCTGCTTTTCAATACGGCAGCGCTTAAAAGCACGACATCGACAAAGGAAATAAGATTTAAGAAGTCAAATGCAATAAGTTTTAGTTAATGAATTTTAGGAAGAAGTTCAGGATCGTGATTTCCTTTCCCGAGGTATACGGGTGGGTCAAATTTATGGAAACAAACCGACCTCTTATGTATATGCCAAGGATTCAATCGAAAATTGAAAAACATTGATTTGATTCCGCTATACAATGTGGTTAATCTTCAGTTTTACTTTCGCAGACTCGATGAATGTCGCTGAGTGAAAGAGGGCCAATTAATGCCTTCCATGAAAAACCGATATCTAAATAACCGTATCATTGGTATAATTTTAAGATAACCAAACGCAAATAATGCAAGAAGCTTGCCTTGGTTCATACGACCTTGGTATCGCCGAAAAAACAATATTCCGAATGCGACTGTAATTGCCAGGATGAAAATGGTCAGAAGCACTATGACGATCAACACCAAGTTTAACGTGCCAGTTGAAACGTTTTGCGGAGAATATTCACCTTCAGCAGTATCAAACGTAGTCCCTGAACAAGGAAAAAAAACTTTTTTTCGAATTGGTTTTCTGAGAAACAAATGCCGATTAAACCGAAAAAGGTTCTAATGAACACTAAAACAAATAAAAGGCTAATAAAGATACGTTAATAACCATATGAATAATAATGTTGTTTACACGAACTGTAATCAATCGTTAAAATATTAAAAATTCTAATTTTCTATAAACTCATAAGTTACATTTCTCCTCCTCCCGGCCCGAAACATTGTTACTAAGATCTCAAGAGTTAATGTCAGCATGCATCAGACAAACAGCGGCAAGTCACCCAAAATTTGCTTTCACTCCTCTTTTCATATTTTGTAGCCCAATATGTTCTAATAATTGTGGTGTAGTTTTTTGTGAAAAGTTATTTTCGTTTCGAGAAATGATATTTTTCGTTCAACCGCTCAAATATGCAAATTTTCACCGTGAATATTACCCAAGTTGTGTGACCTCATGTAACGAATATACTTGATCTCCGGTATTTCTGAAAACATAATCCTTTGTTTTATTATCTAAAATTAATCCCCTGTCATTATTGAAGCTGGAAAAGTAATATTTATTTTTTGGTGAATATTTTTGTCCGATATACTTTTATTAGGTCGAAAAGTAACATCAAAACAAAGACAGTTTTAACAATAGCCGATATGACAAAGTCTACTGAGCTTCGAGCTTTTAAAAGACAAAAGGATGGTTAAAAAGTTACAAAGCCGAAAGCCAAACGGCGGGAAGCCAATAAAGTGATTAGACATTAGCATACGAAACTCCGTCTAATAGTCCATTAAAACGCTCAAAACATCGCTTCTAATTTGTTTTATTCTTACCCAATAGGCGAGTTTACCATCTTTTGCATGTTTTAAAGCTTGATTTATAGTAACAGATCTTCTAGTCACAGTGTCACATCGCACTTTTTTTCCAGGTGCTGCTAACGAACTGGAATCCGTATTAATTTTGTTAATTCTGTATAGTTTAAATTTCCGTCGAAGTCAATTTTACCTTCTGAAAACTTCTTGCGAGTATTCGTCAACCGAGTTCTGAGTGAGTTGGACGTTGTCTTTGTCGCCAACGGTTGGGGGGTTGATCGAGGTCTTGTTGTTCCCTCAATGAAGATATCTTCTTTTTCTGAATTATTGGGTATGGTGGAACAATCTAGGAAGAAAATATGAACACGAGTTACTCGCTACAAAATCAAAGTTCGCTTACAACATATTTTTTTTTTCTTACTGAGATTTTTAATTGGGATAACATAGCTTCGGCATAATCATGAACTTACTGAAATGCTTTTCACATATATATCCTGGATTATCACCATACTTGTCTGCTTGGCACGGAATGTTGTTATACTTTCCGTTTTTCATCATCTCTCCGCATTTTTCTTTTTTAAAATTGTTTGGTTCTCCTGTATTCCAACGCCATGTTCCAGTTGACGTCTCGTTGACGCAGGCTATGCTTTCACTCAACCAGCTCCACGAATAAGATTTACAAACCCTTTCCAAGCCAATGAACCAACGGACCTTTGTTCGCTGGTTTTTTTTGGTTAAATTATGGACAAAGTGCCATTCTTTTTCGGTTTCCATAGAGACAAGTGAACTATTCTCTTCATTGCTACATTTTTCCCTGGCTGTACTCCAGTCAAATGTTTCCTCGTGGAAAAAATACTTGGAGCAGACCGTAACTAAGGTTTAAGGGAAGCCGACCGATAAAGAGAAAAAAGACAAACAACATGAATGCACTTTTTATCTAACTCCCAGATAGAAAAATATTTAGACGTATAGATATGTAAACGTGACTCGACTGAAAATAAATAACTAATACGAATATCTAAGTGCAAATATAAGAACAACAATGACGACAAAGCTACATGAAATAGAGACGAACCTACAATTTTTGGCGTAACCAGCTCCAGTAACAGGGCGCTATTAAAAACTAACGAAACGACTGACGTAGTTAAAATCAGCTAAAGATGGAAATTATTTAACGAAAATAACGCGTATACTGGCGAGAAATAGAACGCTACCCGCAGCGTTACATAATTCTTACACAACCTCACGTAAAAACGCGAGTTTAATTGCATAGAAACATAACATCCAACGGCAAAAAAATGAGAAAATCAGTGTAAAATAATTTCGCAGTTGCTTGAAGATAAACAAACATGCAAATTCTTCTTACTACAGTGTAAAACTTTCTCTATTCCCTCGCAAATGATATTTTTTATGACTATTTCGCTGGTTTTATAGGTGGTGAGGATTAAAAATATTTTCGTGTAGGTTCTTCAAAGCATTTGTAGAGCATTAAGAAATAATATTCAGCTCATATCCTTTGCAAATTTTTTTTGCAAAGGATATGACTTGTTCTATTATTCTTGCCAAATGTGTGCAAACCTAACGTACTTTCAAAGAACAGCATTGAAGCAATTGTAGCTGAGGACATGACTTGTTCGCTTTTTCTTGAAATCAAAACTTTGTGAGGTGTTTAAGAAACAGAGCTGACGGAGGCTGAGGGAAGCTGATCTGTAGAGTATCAAGTTATGGTAATCGACTCATATCCTTTTCAAATTTTTCCCAAACCATTTGTCGAATCTGTTCGCTTCTCTTGCTAAACGTATACAAACCTGGCCTTCTTGCAAAGAAAAGCATTAAAGCAATCGCACTGGAATCCCCGAAAGAAAGATACATTTACAGTGTAATTGTTTGATTGCCTTCAGTTTATATTTTACCAAGATGAATTCAAAGTATGATTATATACTAAGGGATGATGAATGTGCTTACCATCGGTGAATTGGTCTTCAGTGGCATTGGCAACACCAAATGCAAACAGTAAAAAAGTGCAAGCAGCGGTCCTCATGATATCCCGTAGATTCCACTGTAGCGCAGATACGAACAAGCGGTTTTCCTTCACAGTTAACAACAGGAAAACGATTGTTTCCTGTTCATAAAAGCGCGATTAACAGTCGGCAAACAACTTGAATGCTTTTTCCGAATTTAGAAGGTTTAACGCGCGTAGCTGCAATTTGGTAAAATGTTTCCCACTACGTTAAAGTTGTGGTTACTGACTAATGTTCAGAGAAAAATTGTCATCAGTCGATGGCAAGGATTATGTAACTAGCTATAACAACACAGAACCAGCGGGATGAAGCCAGTGTTTCGTTTGTTTTGTGTCGCTGTTCATATTTTACAAACTGAAGCGCGTGGTTCATAAAAATGGCACAAGGAAGTCCTGCCACATTGAAAACAAAACGCTTTCGTCAGCTCTGTTACTTAGCACATTATAAAAAATCTATTTCAACATCAGCAAACTATCTAAAAGTATAAGGAGAGCTGATTCATGAATATTGTCTGTTTCAGTTCAATTTCAATGCGCGTAAAATTGCTCCCATCACTTGAATGCATCGGTCTATGAAGTAGACCAAAGGAGGAAAAAATAATAATAATGGCAAGACAATTAGGTCTGTTAGTTTTGCCGAGAAATGAAAGCTCTGAGAATGGAAATATGAAGATATGTGGTCAAGTTATTTAGCGATAAAAATTGTAGGATAGAGTTTGGATCAGATATCTCCATAAAACGTAGTGGCATAGGAGTTGTAATCGGCCATGTGTTGGAAACTGTACGATGCGTTAATTATTCTTAATTTGATTAACATTTAAAAGTGATTTCGTTTATCTATGCATAACCAAACAGACATATGCGGCACGTGTTTTATCGCCCCATATATGGCACTGTTCCACGTGCTTACAACGGGACGTTTAAGCCGAGAGTTAATAAGAAAGCGTTGTACAGCTTTTTTACGTTTTCGACACGTGTATTCAAGATAATTTACTGTCTAATCGTACCACAACTCGATCATCAATCTGGGAGAGCAAGCTAAACTGTTTTTGAAATCTCACTCGCAAGAGTGAAAACTACTTAGCAAAAGTGAAAACTGCTTAGCGTAAATACTGCAAGCTTATAAGCAGATAAAAATAGAGAAACATGTGTCCTCCTGAAGAACTCCGCTTGCGGACAACCGTCACAACATTGTTTATCAATACCCTCGTTAAAGAAAGTTGTATAAGTTTCTAGCGCAAGAAAAAATATTTGTCCGGTCTAAACACTTCAACCAAACGTCCCCAAAGTAAAGTCACTCATATTCTCCTCTTTCATTTCCACCATTAATTTGAATAAAACACAGAACTAATCCCACTTTCTCTAATTTTATTATGTTTGGTAATCCTTGATTTATCACAATACACACGACAATGATGTGGTTCAGAATACACTAAACTGACACCAGATAATACAAAGACTTAACCAAGCCTAAAAGCGGAGCTCTTGTTAGTTTATTTTCCAGCCCTTCATTATAATAAAAACTGTAATAAAACTCTTCAGCACTGGCTGTAGAAAAGTTTCTTTAAGGGGATTTACGGACCAGCCCGGAGGTTGGGTGGTGGGGAGGTGGGGAGGGGGAGGGGAAGAATTGACGAGGTCTGGAACGATCACTTTGAAGCCTATTTTCAAAAAATTCTAAAAAAAAAAAAAACAACCCCGTACTCGAAAAAAGTATCGATATGTCAACGCTATGAGTCTTGAGCTAGCAGGCGAGCTCCTTCACCCATCACGCATCTCTGCTCTCAAACATATGCACGTGCGCAGATACAGCTGCCTCGCCTTGTTCTACTTTACTTTCTCCAACAGTGATTACAGTATTATAAATCATCATCTGCTTTTTGTTTTTTTTTTTGTTTGTTTTTTTCCTTTGGGTTTAGTATCCACTGTACAATGGAATTTAACTGGTATGTAATGTTTTTTAGGCTTGCAAAATTTCATTTTGAAAACATATTTAATGATAATGACGAATTGATAGAATTTATATCGATACATTACTATAAAAGAAATATTTTGAGTTGTTGTTTCCTTATTTTCATCATCATCATCATCATTATTATTATTATTATTATTATTTTTATTGTTATTAAATCGCGAATCTGCTGCGAGTTCCAAGAAATAGTAACAGCGAGTTTCCCATCGTCAGGCGCAGCATGCGTGAACAAAAAAGGTTGTTGAGACAATAAAATAGCACAATTTACAAGGAGTGGATTTCTCAAACCACGATTGAATTAACCCAGTGTCAATGGAAATTCTCTTTTTCCCTTTGTGGCTTTGCTGGGACAAGAACTATTATTACATTGTTTACTTCAGCTTTATTATCCTGGATAAGCGCCGATCGTCTTACGAACAATCCACTCAAGCGTTAACATACTCAAGAGAAGCTATTTGATTCACATATTTAGGATTAGGTATTTGATTCACACATTCAGGATTCGGCATTTGATTCACATATTCAATGTCGCTGTCTTCCACTGTAGATTTGCAAGTTCGGGAATCCTCTCCTTCTGGAGCCTGTAAAATATCCAATTTTATATGTGAAAGCACTGATGTTTTTATCGACATGACAGACAAGGTTTATCGAATTTTGCTCTCGATTCCTTTGATAATTGCTGTTTGCTTGACTAAGCTCTTCACTGTCAATAAACAAAACTGAACGAAACAATAAACGCAGCCCATGCAGCGATAAGTCGATCGTGTCGAGTGTAAATATTATTTTCTCCTGATCGTGTAAAACATCTTTGCATTTAAATGATATTTCTAATTATGCCATGTTGTGCTAACTCTTAATTAAGGTCGTCGATTAATTTACGACATCTTCTGGTAATATAGATTCTTTAATTTGCATAAATACGGCTAAAAGTTTAGACTAGTGGTTTTGAAAGGTAATGCCTGTTTCCAAATGAGATCCCTCTACCTTGCAATAATGTGATGTTTCACCAGAGAAATTTCAATGTGTAAATAGATATATGGAGGAATAGATCGATCGATAGAGCTGGTTGTTTGAAAACTCTTTAAAGTATCGCAATTTTTTTTCATTCCATTCTTTTCGTGATCTAATGTTGCAAAACCATATGGGCCGGATCACATTGGATAATTTAAATTCATATTTTGCGTAATTCAGTACCATCATTGGCTCTGGACACAGCGTTGTATATACATCCCCCCGTTGGACAAACGATTTCTGTTGGATCCTAAATAAATAAATAAAAAGCACACAAAAAAAAGAGGAAACAAATTTTAATTTTAAGCGTACATAGGTTTTCGAGCAGGGAGAAAATCTGTGAACTCGTATGCCACCCATAAAATTAACCTCTCTCAAAATCTAAATGCTATCAACATTTGCTTACTTCAGCTTTATAATCCTGGATTAACGCTAAATGTCTAACAAAAAATCCCCAATAGCTTTTGACACGTTTTCTGATGGTGACATAATAACATACCTTTGAGTTGGTACTGGAATCTCATATTCAACGTCTTTGGCTTCTCTTGCAGATTTATCAATCGACGCGTACGTTCGTGAATCATCTCCTTCAGACGTCTGCGAAACAGACAGTTTTATTCAGGCGGTTCACTTTGGAGCCTTTCAATCATGGTTTCATTCCCCGCAGAAAAAATAGACTGGGCACATCCATTCATAGTAACCAGCGGCAAACTGTCTCGAAAGTCGCGTTTTTTCTGTGTAGAGACAGGTTACAAATAAACATTAAAAAAG